TGTGCCCAAAGAGGGGCCAAAAGGAGAGACTCCTGACAACTTCTTGCTGCTTTCCCAGGTCTGCTACAGGCCTGCCCTAGGGCTATGTTACACCATACCCTTTTTATTCTTCCTTTTGGCTTAACCTAATTTGAGTTGTTTCCCGTTACTTACAACCAAAGTGGCCTGAATAATACAAGCATTCTTTACATCTGCCTCTTTTCAAAACTGGTATAAATGAAAGGTTTTCTCCTTGGGTGGTTTGGAAGCAAAAAATCAGGTCACGGGCAGCAACAGCCACATTTTTCCTCCAGCTGTGAAGTTCAGACATAACCAAGCAGCTTGGGCCAAACCAATGATAAAGGTGTCCTTCCAGGACAGTGACTGTCTCCTGATACTTCCTGCTAAACTCCAAATTCCAGAACAAGTTGGGTACAAATATCTGAATGATTGTGTGGGCCTCCAGGGGGCGCTCAAGCCTGCCCTGTCTATTTCCTCTCTGCTTATTTCCCACTTCCCTGCCCAGGAAAGGAACACTGCTAGGACTTTCAGAAAAGAGGAGTCTTTCTTTCTTTTCTTTTTTCTTTTCTTTTCTTTTCTTTTCTTTTCTTTTCTTTTCTTTTCTTTTCTTTTCTTTTCTTTTCTTTTCTTTTCTTTTCTTTTTTTAATTTTTCTTCTTTTTTTTCTGTAAATTAATCCCAACAATTACATTTCAAAAAAAGAGGAGTCTTATTGGCTACTGGGCTAGTGGTCTTTTTCTTGCACAATGGGCGTGTCCGTTTCCTGTGGCCGAAGGGGAAACCTGGACTAGTTGTCTTGCTTCTGCATGCTCGTTCCTCTACCTTAGGAAGGTCCCTCCCCAAATATTTTATTAATAATTTTTGATAAACCAAAAATATATGATGCCACTACAAAAAGTGTATCTTTTAAAATGCGTTTACCTGCAGGTAACAAAAACTTGACCTAACTGTCTTAAACTGTCTCATGTAGCTTGGATCCCAGAGGTGGGGCAGACCACAGGTGTCCTATGATCCTATGACCCTGCAGGATAGCAGGGACTCCAAGCCTTGGCAGTGGAGTGGGTGGCTTGGTTAGCCCATCTGGCAGTTCCAGGTTCTCTCTAGGAGGAGCTCCCTGGTTCTTTACCTGCTAGATCCATATCTGGTGGGAATTGGGCAAGTTGACCTTTCTGAGGCCTACACAGCTTTAACTGCCCACTGCCTGTTAGTGAAGTTCACAGTCGTTAGCTGTTATTAGGTTTTTGTTTGTTTGTTTGTTTGTTTGTTTGAGACAGAGTCTCACTTTGTTGCCCAGGTTAGAGTGAGTGCCATGGCGTCAGCCTGGCTCACAGCAACCTCAATCTCCGGGGCTCAGCGATCCTACTGCCTCAGCCTCCCGAGTAGCTGGGACTATAGGTGCACCACCATGCCCAGCTAATTTTTTGTATATATATTTTTAGTTGGTCAATTAATTTATTTCTAATTTTGGTAGAGACGGGGTCTAGCTCAGGCTGGTTTCGAACTCCTGACGTTGAGCAATCCGCCCGCCTCGGCCTCCCAGAGTGCTAGGATTACAGGCGTGAGCCACCACGCCCGGCTGTTATAAGGTTTTTAAGATCTCATTGGCAATTCCTTAAAACTTGCAGGTTTCCTGTCATTTCCAGTCAATTCCAGACATCTTGTCTAGACACAGTCCTTGAGACTGGGAAATCCATTCATGTAACCACAGGCCTCTACGCCTCTGGAACTCAGTTAAAAGGCCTCTGCCTTGAGGCTATTCAAAATAGTTAGCTAAGGTACAGAGGGATCATCAATAAAAAGCTCTTTGCCCCAGGTTTTCCTCTTTGTGGGCAGAAAATGTTTAAAGCAGTACAATGCACCAGGCTGGTCTCTCGCTCACAGTTAGTCTCCTGCTAAATCTCCTGTGTCTGCTGGTGCTCACTTTCTCTTGCGATCTAGAATTCAGTTTTTCCAGCCCTCCAAGTTATAGGATTGCAAGCCACTGTTAGCAAAACAAAAAACTTAAAACGGGGGGCTTTAAGACTAAACGTTGTCTGTCTTATAGGACCATCCTGAAGACTGCATGAAATCGCTAACACCTGCCAACATTCTGATTTTTCCCCATGATTTCCCATAATTCTACAGTCTTGATAGGCACACAGTCTGTGTTCCAGATACCAGCAACAGTTTCAGGATCACTAACTTTCCAAGAGGTCCCCACCCCTCCAGTCTACCTCTCCACTCAACCTTCCATCTGTCTAATGGTCTTGAGGGAGGATTCAAGCTATATACAGCTCGTCTTTTCCTTAGTCATTTGCCTGGATACTACAGCCTCCTTTATGCCCTCAGCCTTCCTGCTCCAGCTTCAGACAAGTCTCCCATATATATTCTAGTTTTTTTAAAATCTGATATGTAAAGAATTTAGATCCCATACATATATATATTTTAATTCCTTCACCTTTAACTTTTACCAAAAGATTATCAAGATTTTATTTTTTTTCTTTTAGAATAACTCGTGGCATGTAATTTTTTTTATTTTTAAATTTTTTTGTTGTAGTTTTGTTGTAGAGACAGGGTCCCACTATGTTGCCCAGGATGGTCTTGAACTCCTGGCCTCTAGTGATTCTCCCACCTCCACCTTCCAAATCACTGGGGTTAACAGACGTGAACCATGGGTGCCTGGCAAGATTTTCACCATGTACTTGAGTAACCTGTATAATTGCATATGTCCCTTCCTATCCCATTGTGCTCATAAAGAACTCAGTTCTCCACATGCAATGGACACAAAAAGCATTAATCATAAAAGAAATAAAAAGGATACATTTCACTTGATTAAAATTAAAACCTGCTAATCAAAAGACACTATTAAGAATGCCAAGTGTGGCCGGGTGTGGTGGCTCACGCCTGTAATCCTAGCACTCCGGGAGGCCAAGGCGGGAGGATCACTCAAGGTCAGGAGTTCGAAACCAGCCTGAGCAAGAGTGAGACCCCCCCCTTTCTACTATAAATAGAAAGAAATTAATTAGCCAACTAAAAATATATATAGAAAAAATTAGCCTGGCATGGTGGCACATGCCTGTAGTCCCAACTACTCGGGAGGCTGAGGCAGAAAGATTGCTTGAGCCAAGGAATGTGAGGTTGCTGTGAGCTAGGCTGATGCCATAGCACTCTAGCCCAGGCAAGAGAGAGAGACTCCGTCTAAAAAAAAAAAAGACACTGTTAAGAAAGTGAAAATGCAAATCACAGATGAGGAAAATATGTTCACTATACAATACATATATGTGACAAAGGATTCATATCAGGATATATAAAGAATTCCTATAAATTAATAAAAATATTTTTAATGGGCCAAATACTTGAAGAAGCACTTAGAAAAGAAGATATCCAAATGGCTAGTAAGCATGTAAAAAAAGATGTTTAACAACACTATCAGGGAAATACAAATTAAAACCATAATAAGAGATCACTATATACCCACCAGATGGCTAAAATTTAAAAGATTAACATACCACCTACTAACAAAGATGTAGAGCAACAGGAACTCTCCCATACACTGCTGGTGAGAGTATAAAATAGTATAACCACTTTGGTGTAAAACTGTTTGGCAGTTCCTAATAAACTTAGGTATGCAGGTAGCCTATAACCCAGCAATTCCATTCCTAGGAATTTGATATGGTATGAATACTACTCAGCAATAAAATAATGTACTACTGTATATAAAATGACATGGATGAATCTCACAAATACTGACAGAGCAAAAGAAGACTGACACAAAACATACTGTATGATCCAAGTAAATGTCATATATATATATAGAGAGAGACACACATATATTTTATATGTGTAAAATTTAAGAACAGGCAAAATTAATTTATGGTGATAGAAACTAGTACAGTGACTCCAGGGGAGTAGGAGGTAATGACTGGAAAAGAGCACCAGGAAACTTTCTGGGGTGATGGAAATGCTTTATATCTTGGTCTAGGTGATGGTCACAGAGGTGTATACATTTGTTAAAAAAAAAAAAAAATTGTTGATTTTTCCTGTTAAGATTTGTGCATTTTGCTGGGTGCAGTAGTACTTGCCTGTAGTCCCAGCTACTCAGGAGGCTGAGGCCTTAACTGGACACCCTTAACCCACCATAGGAGCTCAAGAGGAAATTGGTTTGTTTCTCAAAATGGAAAAACCTTTACTGTTTCTTCTGATAGTATACTAGAGTTATAAGAAAATGTTTTTCAGCAATACAGAAAAACAGAAAGGCCCATATAAATTTGCTCCCCCAAGATTACGCATCAACAGACCTTTTCAGATTTAGGTTAACCAGGCTCTTAACTCTGTGCAACACAAAAGGACTGGGCACATTAAACAAAAAAGGGACTTATTGATGTCAGATAGCTCAAAGCGCCAGACCGGCTGACAAAGCAAAACCAGGAAAATGGACAAAAACCAAGGGGAACTAGGCAGCCAGGAAACCAGGCAGTCAGGATCCTGGGCAATCTGGTTAGGATGGCAGCTGTGCTGCCAGTGGACATGGCATGGCTGCTCCCATTGACCCTGGGACATTGGGTGTCACAGCCACCACCAACAGCAGAAGTTGTAAAACGCCCCCGCTACTGAGCATCAGTCTCTGGATTCTAAGTCCAATTCGCCAAGCAAAGGACACTCACTCTCACTCTGACAGCCACAAGCCTACAGAGTTGAGTATAGATAGCTACCTTGGGACATAGGCCTGCTGTCATCTACACCCACACCATGGTGGATCCCTCAAGAAAAGGAGTCAGATGTCATGTGGCAAGAAAAAAAAAAAAAAATGGCAAATGCCCATTACATATGTTTGCATATAAGTGAGATTTTATTATACACACTAATTGCTAAGTACATTTTTGTTTGTTCACATACACTCTCACTTAAGTGAGAGAGAAAACCCAGAGGGGGGGAGCGTCCCTTTAACTGATCTGATTGATACTAACGATGAACGATTAAAGGGCAATCGCTCATCAACTTAGTATTTTGGTGTTATTTTAGCAGTCCCACCAGGTGGCTCCACAAGACACGAAGTGCAGGCGAAGCGTTAGATGCAAATGTCCCTTAGCTCCAACCACGCGGAACACCAGCACCTACACCCGCGCAGCCCAGCAGACGTGCCTCGTAGGCTCGGTTCGCGCATCCCAGGGGATGTCTGGGGCTTGAACCACCGGACCCCCAGGTGCCAGTCCGCTTCGCTCCCCGCTTGGCCAAAGTGTCCTCGCACAGCACTCCTCAAGTAAATAAATAAATAAACAAATGCGAAGCCCAAGCTGCGTGCGCCCGCCTCCTGCCCCGGGGCTGGAACTGGCCCCGGCTTTCTCCGGACCGCAGTCCGGCCCAGCATCGCGGATCCAGCCAGCCCACCGCCCTTCTGACTTCCTGGGACTTGGGTCCCGACGCCCGGAGGAGCTCAGGAAGAGGGGCAGGAAGATAAGACACCTCGGGGACTGGGCATGCCTGTAACGGAGGGACGCGGAAGCCCTCGTAGCCCTGCTTCCGCCTCCCGCGCGGCTGGGCCTGCGCCCCAGGGTCCAGCTGGACACATCCAGGCTCTGACGCAGCTTCCGAAAAGCTGCCCAACGCGCCCTGAGGCTTGAGAAGACTCTCGGCCGCCTAAAGCAGCCAGTGGGTCCCATGGTGTAATGGTTAGCACTCTGGACTTTGAATCCAGCGATCCGAGTTCAAATCTCGGTGGGACCTCTCCATACCTTTTGGTCCTGTAATTCCCGTTTTGGGGACTGCTGCTGAGGCAGCACCTCGGGCTGTGCGGTGGCCCAGCTGACTCGCCGGACCGCAGCTTAGGGTCCCTCCCCCTCTCTCAAGATGCTTTCGTTTCAGGGTCTTGGGGTATTCTCAGTGCGCACGCGTGAGAGTCAGGCAGAAAAATAAATGTATCGATGGGAGTTGGAACGCGACTTTACCCTGGAGGGAACCACCCGAAAGTGCCCGAAGGATGCCGACGATGCTGCTTCGGGCGGGGCACAACTCGGTCTGCCGGTCTAGGAGACCCACCCTTGCCCGAAAGCTGCCGAGCGCCCTTCTCCTATTGGCCACTGTGCAGAGCGCGGTACGCAGCTGCTCCATGAGCCGCGAATGACGGGGCCGGACTAAGCCAAGAGGCGGGGAAACAGCGCTCGCGGGACTCCCATTGGTCACAAGCAGTAAACAAGGCTGCTGGCCCTTAGGGAGTGTGGGCAGGTTCAGAGAACCCCCTAGGCGTTTGCCTCGGTTGTCCAGTGCTCAGGCACTGAGGTTGTCTGTGTCTTTCAGTCAGAAAACAATCCCTCAGTCAATGTTTCTTTCGGTTCTTTAGTCCGTCTCAGCCTCCTAGGGTATCTCGGCTGGTGGCTTCTCACCGTGGATGGGGTATTTCTCCCGAGCGAAGGACAGGAATCTCTAAGGGGTTCCCCAAATGGTCGAGCGCGTCTCTCTGGACCAATCTGCCCAGGATCCGTGTTAAGGGTGCTGACCAGGCGCACGCGACTTGCGGGAAAGGGCGTGCCTCTAGGATCTTGTGAAAGAGATGAGCGTGGATTGTTGTCTTCTTTGGATTAGTATCCGGGTTTCCAGAGGTGTGTGTCCCTCTGGGATAAGTGACGAGGGAGCCCGCTGACGCAGTTATCTCCCTACAGGGTGATTGGCACTGTGGTTATGTTACATGTCCCCGCCCTTTGGGAGGATACCATGGAAACGGAGAGGCTCCCCGCACTGCTCTCCCCATCTGTCCCCTGAGCACCCCTCCTCCACCCCCCCCACCTTACCCCACACACTCCCTAAACGGTTGCACGGACCTGTGTGTATGAGCCATCCCGGCCTCCCAAATACCTAGACATGAGAGGTGGGAGGAGAGGACTTGCTGTACAAGAGAGTAAAGTTTATTACCAAGTACAAACTTAGAGGAATTAAGATTGTGTGGTGCTGGTGCAAGGATATACAAACATACCAATAGAACACAGTAGGGAACCCAGATTCAGCCCCACACGTATTTGGACAATTGATTTATGACAAAGATGGCACCACAGAGGAATAGGGAGGAAAACGACCTACTTTTCAATAAATTATTCTGGGACAATTGAGTATTCATAGGGAAAAATATAAAATCGGATTCCTCCTCCCTAACTTATACTAAACACAGCAATAAATTCCACGTGAATTATAGACCTCAATGTGAAGAAAAAGTAATAAAGTTTTGGAAGACAACATAGGAAAATATCTTCATGACCTTGGAGTAAAAAAAGCCTTCATAAATAAGACACAAAAGGTTCTTAGCACTTTGGGAGGCCGAGGGGGGAGGATTGCTTGAGCTCAGGAGTTCTAGACCTGAGCAAGAGCGAGAACCCCTCTCTACTAAAAACAGAAAAATTAGCTGGGCATCCATCGTGATGCCCCTGTAGTCCCAGCTACTCCAGAAGCTGAGGCAGGAGGATCGCTAGAGCCCAAGAGTTTGAGGTTGCAGTGAGCTATGAGGACATCACTGCAGTCTACCTGGGGTGACAGAGGGAGACTCTGTCTCAAAAAAAAAAAAGTTCTAAATTTATTTCATCATATTAATGTGATACTATATGTTCATCCTATCAAAAGACCCTAATAAGAAAGTGAAAAGGTAAGCCACAGAATAGAAGATATTTGTAATGTATAACTGACAAGGAACTAAAATCTAGATTATAATAAAGAAATCCTTAAAAACGATAAGAAAAAAGACAACATAATAAAAAAATGACAAGACTTGAAAGGGCATGTCACTAAAAAAGGAAACCCCAAATAACTGATATACATATGAAGAGATGTAAGAAATGATTAGTCATCATGAAAATGCAAATTAAAAGCTCAATCAGATCCCACTACACACCATAATGCCAATGCTGAATGTTATCAAGAATATGGAATAATGTGGCCAGGCATGGTGGCTCACGCCTGTAATCCTAGCACTCTGGGAGGCCGAGGTGGGTGGATTGTTTGAGCTCAGGAGTTCAAGACTAGCAAGAGCAAGACCCCATCTCTACTAAAAATAGAAAGAAATTAGCTGGACAAGTAAAAGTATATAGAAAATATTAGCCTGCATGGTGGCGCATGCCTGTAGTCCCAGTTACTCAGGAGGCTGAGGCAGAAGGATCACTTGAGCCCAGAAGTTTTGAGGTTTCTGTGAGCTAGGCTGAAGCCACGGCACTCTAGCCTGGGCAACAGAGCTAGACTCTGTCTCAAAAAAAAAAAAAAAAAAAAAATTTAGTCTGAGGACCCTAAGACGGGAAAAAAAAGAATATGGAATAATGTGAACCATCACAAGGGAGTAAATTGGTGGAAAACAGTTTGTCATTATCTATTAAAGTTGGAGATGCTCCTACCCTGTGATATAGCAATTTCACTCTTGTTAATCTACTCACAGAAATATGATGCGCACGTGTACACCTAGACACATATATAAGAATGTTGTTTTGGGAATGTAATAGCCAAAAATTGGAAGGAACTCAAATGTTTTTGACAGTAGAATGAATAAATAACTTGCAAGAACTTCATACAATGGAATATTATACAGCAACAAAATGAACTACATGTAACAAAATGGATCTTTTTTTAAAAAAAAGTATTGCGCAAAGGGCAGAAATAAAAAAATAAATAGGCCAGGTGTGGTGGCTCACGCCTGTAATCCTAGCACACTGGGAGGCCGAGGCAGGCGGATTGAGGCAGGCGGATCGCTCAAGGTCAGGAGTTCAAAACCAGCCTGAGCAAGAGTGAGACCCCGTCTCTACTATAAATAGAAATAAATTAGCTGGACAACTAAAAATATATAGAAAAAATTAGCCGGGCATGGTAGTGCATGCCTGTAGTCCCAGCTACTCGGGAGGCTGAGGCAGAAGTATTGCTTGAGCCTAGGAGTTTGAGGTTGCTGTGAGCTAGGCTGATGCCATGGCACTCTAGCCTGGGCAACAGAGCCAGACTCTGTCTCAAAAAAAAAATAATAATAATGTATGATTTCATCCATATAAAGTTCTTAACACTACTATATATTACTTACAGCTGCAAACCGAGATGGTAAAACTATGAAGCAAAGTTTATACTTTTGCTATGGGGAATATCTCTGGGGAATAAGAGGGTGGTGATTGGAGACAGGCCAGCAGCAGTCACTAGAGGGTACTAATACTGTTCTACGTCTGGTCTTGGGTGAAGGTTAAGTAGATGTCCACTTTCTAAAAATTTGTTAAAATGCACATTTATGATGTATGCACTATTCTGTATGTGTGTTATAATTTCTCAATTAAGAAGGTAAAACGGTACCTATCTAGAGACATGGTTCTGCCCTGGTCACAGATGAGGAGTCTGAGCACAATTTGTCCCCAGAGGGGGAATCAGGATAAATACTCTGAGCCAGCCAAACCACATTCAGAGGATCAAATTCAATTCTAAGCATCACACAAAGACATTGATAGATTTTATCCTGCCACTAACTGGCTAGGTGCATTTGGGTACACAATTTAAATGTTCTGAGTCTCGTCTGGAAAAGGATAATAATGGTGACTTTTGTGTAGTAGTGTTGTGAGAATTAGAAAAATAGAAATGAAAAGTCCTTATATCTATATCTGATTCATTATATATTCAATAATAAATGCTAGAAAGATAACCAGAATAATGAAATCTATGGAAGCTCAGATATTCGAAAAGAGAACAAATACTGGGAGGAAAACGAAACTTAGAGGGCACAAGATAGCTGTCTTCATTTGTTTGCCTACTTGTTCCTAGTCTGGGTTGCAACAGAAGCAGAAAATGAGAACTCCTGGGTGGAAGTTAGAGGGGCAAAAGGGAAGAACTTTCTAACAACTTCAGCATCAACAGAACAGGTTTGAGAAATACAGAGCTTCTGGCTCCCAGAAGTCTTCCAGGGAGGCTCCAAGGTCTTTGTCAGTTGGGGGTGTAGGAAGATGTCTGTACTCAGATGGACACTGGGCTCCATAAAGGGTACCTTGCCTTCCTCTCTGAGGTTTGATTCTACTGTGAATCTTTGCTCCCAGTTCAGGACTTGACTTACCATGAGGTTTTTCATTATTTCTCCTGTGCCTTTCACCATTTTTGGTTTGTTTGTACCAAGACCCTCAATAAGATCACATCAAGAACCAGAGCACACATACACAAAATGGAAACAAAGGTTTAAGAAACAATTTTAGGCCGGGTGCAGTGGCTCACGCCTGTAATCCTAGCACTCTGGGAGGCCGAGGTGGGCGGATTGCTCGAGGTCAGGAGTTCGAGACCAGCCTGAGCAAGAGCAAGACCATGTCTCTACTAAAAATAGAAAGAAATTATATGGACAACTAAAAATATATATAGAAAAAATTAGCCAGGCATGGTGGCGCATGCCTGTAGTCCCAGCTACTTGGGAGGCTGAGGCAAGAGGATTGCTTGAGCCCAGAGTTTGAGGTTGTTGTGAGCTAGGCTGACACCATGGCACTCTAGTCCGGGCAACAGAGTGAAAAAAAAGAAACGATATTTTCCCTTATACATGTAAAAGTACACTCTGATTGTACTGGTCACAACTGTACTGGTCACAACTTCCTAACTTGGTTTTATAACTCACAGTTCCTGAAATCCTTAGGAGCTCACTACCATCCCCAATGTCCTTCTCCTGGTTCCAGCTTCTCTGAGACTCCTTCCACATTTCCTTTTCCTTCTACCCCCAGTATCTTAGAGGAGAACCTCTTTCTCAACAGTCTGAGAAGCCTCTTCCGATAGTTTTATTCTGGTTGCGGGGGGGTGGGGGGGGGGCTGATGGCATTTTCCAGAAGGGAGCATCTGTAGCATGTTGTCCCTGACCAGAGTCACTGGCAAAGGGCAGAGCACTGGCACTCAGGACCACCAGGGAAGCCAGGTCTGTACCCAGCCTGGCCTCCCCAAGGCCAGCTTCTCTGGTTGTCCATTCATTCTCTTCTTTGTTTATTACTTTGACTGTGAGACAAAGTGTGTACAACACTTATTAAACTGCCTAGCGCACAGTAAACCTTCAAATTATA